TTTTAAACATAACAAAGCACTCTTCGCGTTTGATTTTGAAAATTTTTAATGCTAGTGTTGCTATGGACAATGTACACACTTAGGTGAATGTTGTCATAAATGTCAAACGTCGATTTAAGTAATTATACGTATTAAGTTGTAGCATATAAAAATGGAACATTTGAAGAAAACTAAGCAGGTTATCTCAAATTAAGCCGACGAATCTGTTTGTAAATTTTATTTATTTATTTTATTTAAATAAATTATTTAAATAAATTACTTTGTACAAATTTCCACTAAAAAAATATCTATGGCTTAAATAGTCACTGTATAATATATAATATTATAGCTAAAAAAGCGACTGTACCAAATATTAGAGTCATATTATGTATCCAATGGAACCTGAAATAAACAAAAATATCATTAGTCAGCTATACAGAAATATTAATTATATTGTTACAATTATATTGTCTTTTTTATATATTACTATACATACATTGATAACCGTCGCGCTGCCTTTATAGGATCAGATTCTTCCTTCAAAATGAATTTTATACCTCCCAACAGGTAATTTGCAATATACTTCCTCCAATTCATATCTCGCAAATCCAATCTCACTTTACTACTGTCTTTCAACACCTTTATATCCTCCGCCATCTTATAAACATTATCTCTATGAAAAGACCATTCGTGAAAACTGAAGTAATGTAACATTGTAAGCAGGTTATTGAAATACTTGTTAATTTTCATCATTCTGAAATGACATTTTTAAATTGTAGTATTGTCCCAACGTGCGATTACTAGTTATCGTTCGACGACCAACAGGATACTTACATTGGTTTCTTACCCCGAAGTTTTAAAGAAATATCGATCACAAATGCAGGAAAAACATGTAAGAATATATTCAAAATATTGTAAAGGAATCTGCTCTCTACAATTTTGCAATACGGATACCATAATATATCGTTCGGCGGCGCTTCCAAGCTGCATTCCAGGAAAATATTTTTCAGTTTTTCCCAGCTTAAAAAATGAAACATTCATGCTTGTAGAATTAATGGAATTATGTTTAAAATGGACAATATTTTTATTGAAATATCCCGGATATTTATTTTAGTTATTTTCCTGTTTTCGTAACTTGAAAAACTAATGTGAACGCAAACACAAAGTATTTAGCAGATTTCGTTGTGGATCTGATTTGTAAAAATATATTTTCTATGGTCAATGGAGTGTCTCGGAATAAATCAAGTGTAAATTGATACTCAGAAAAAATATGGTTTTTGCATTCAGTGCCTAAATTTTCCTTCTCTATGTCGTCTCGTGTATTTTAATTACGATCATGTGCTTTTGCTTGACTTATGCACTCCAAAGAATTCCAAATCTTTGTGACTCCAAAAGTTGACGATGTATTACCTAAGAGGATCAGCGTTGCTCGTACAGTTATACACTTTAACTTCATTATCAGGATGTATGGTGACATGCCATGCTGCACATATTACCGTGTCGACTACGTAGTCAACAGGTATTAAATCCAATCTCATGTCTTTCTTAGCTGGTAACACCTTTACATTACCTTTACCGACTTGCACACCAATAGCTGTAACGTTAAATTGCGTTAGAAAATCATTCTCAATTCTTGAAATATTTTGAAAATATATTATCGAAAATACATTGACGATAAAGATAGTAATATATAACGTATATAAATAACGTATCACTAACGTTACACGAATTTATATATTGCGCTTCAAAGCTGTCTGAAAGCACTGCCAGTAATTAATACATCAAAACGTACAAAAAAAGTAATTCTTTAAACAAAAAAACAAAAATTGACTGTTTTCCTTCTTAAGAAAGTTAGGGAAAATCCCATAACGTAAAGAATTGTTATTATTTGAAATATAATTAAAGAAATAAAGAAATTTGAATAATAACTATACTAAAGTAGATAAAACGAAATTTACTAGTTTATATTAAAGGAAATTGATAACTTTTTCTACACGTACCTGTAACTCCATAAATATTATCCACCCAGCCAGGACACGGTTCTTCCAGCGATGCACCAATTACACTTGGTCGTACTATTGCAGTTGGAACATTTTTACAATCGTTAAACACGATC